TAAATAAATAAAAACCTGTCATATGGGGTAACTGTCTAGCGAGGCACCACTGTATAAGTTATAATCACAAACGTGTTATATGAAGTGAAGCTGATACTGTTTTCTATAACTCCTTCGTTTTATTACACGAAGAACAATAAGTAAAATTTTTGGGATCAGGAACTGTGCTATTAGTTAAACTTGTGCCACGCAAGACTAGCACACATAGTAAGAGGACAGAAGAATAGGAAAGAATGCCTGGTTCCAAGACCACCATATTGATTCCATGCTGAGCCCAGCTGATTTGCATTTCCAGGAAAGACATGTACTTGAAATGGACAGGTTTTCCCCCTTCCAGCAGCTAATTTTTATGCACTCTAAATTTCAGCACCTAATCACCCCACTCTAGTTATGGTTCTGCCCCATATGCTGATGTGAACTAGTGGGATTAGTACATATGGGCCAGCAGCAAGTTCATTTGCTTTTGATAGTTAAGCCAGTTCTGCATACATGAAATGATGCAAAACCTAGAGCTAGCACTTCTCAAATGGGTTGACAAACCCTTGCAAGTAAGAGATGTGGCAACAAGACATGTCACATCTTTTATACTTTGCGCTCTGTCTTTTAATTACTTTCATTTGTAATGGTACACATTTATCATTTATTTTAAAAGTAACATTTTAAAAAATTAATGTTACGACCAAGATCTAGTCATCTAACAGAACAGCTTCTCTCAGAAGTACTGTGAGGGACTAATTCCTCTTCTCCTTAAGCATAGAGCAGGTTTTCAGGTAATAAAGAGCGTTGTAATGGGAAGGGCCTCTCTGTGAGGCGCTTGCTGCCAGGGCAGGGCTCTTTTGCCCACCCGGCCGGAGGAGATAGATGGAGGCGTCCCTGCATCAGATCAGGCAAGGGGGCCGGGCAAAAGCGAGGCCTTGAAAAAGGCTTCCCAGCCTCGCCTCGCCCTTCCTTACCAGTCCCTATGCCGTGGAGGGTAGTGCAAAAGGACAAGGGTTAGATGAGTTCCAAAGAAGGCGCCCAGGGGGTGCAGAGCACCCCTTCTCTCAGGAGGACAGCAGCAGATGTTTAGCTGAGGGGAGGGGAAGATGTGGACCTCAGGGGACACTGAGCAATTAGGGTTAGGAGGCCCAAATGGGACAGTACAATTCCAGTATAGGAACTTGATTGGAGGTCTGGACAGGAAGGTCATGGTTGACTCTGGTTACAGACCAGTTTGGTGCACTACAGGAGCCTCCCTTGTAAAAAAGCGATTTTGAGGTTATTATAAGTAAGTTAATAAAGTTGTTGCCCTAGTTAACCCATATATGTGTGTCTGTCTCTTTATTCCGGACTGGGCAAGCAAGGGGAAAGATATTAGAAAATTTTGCTAGAATATTCTAGTACTCATTCATAAGCACAATGCTGGATTTGGGCCCATATCTACTACAAATTACTAGATTTTGGCACAAATACACAACCTAGCTTCGCATTATACAAGGCTTTCCTAAGATGTACAAAGCTCCTTTCGAAATAAAAGAAGGAAAACAAAGCTGTGAATTTATGGAAATGGGTTTTAAAAACACTGTAAACAGATTTTCATATGTACAAATTAATGGTTTTGTGACAGCAATCACGCTGAATGCTACTCTTTCTATATATCACAAGCAAACAATAAGTATATTCTTCATTCCTCAAGAAAAAAAAATCTAATTTTCAGCAGGCATGAAAACTGTAACCAGAAAAAGGGAAAGCTTGTCATTCTCATAGAATATGTCTTTCTTTAAATTTGTTCACAACTGATTCTAATTAACTTGGCAAGATGTTCACAGCTGTAAATATTTATTAACTCCTATAACTAACTTTGTGTCACTTCCCTAACATTACTAGATGCAACTTTCAAAAATATTAGATGTACATAGGCTGCATGGCAGTTCTATGACCTCTGGCTGTGCAATCTATACAAAATCTATTGATCCTGTTCTGATGTCAAGACTTCAAGAGTTGCTTTCCATGGTTTAATTACTCATTGGTAGCTGATATTCATCAAAGTGCAAGAAACAGTCAGCTCAAATTAAACTTTGAGTACCTCAAATCCAGCAGTTCAAGACAAAAAGTACCATGATGACCAAGATGGACTCATTTTGGACTGAGAAGATAGGTGGTTTGAGAGGGCAGTCAGGGAGCCCATAGATTTGCATATAGAAAATCTTTCACTCAACAGGGGTGGAGGCCTTAGATACAATCTGTTTCCTATTTATCATGCTGCCTTTTCATCCATTCCCAGAAAGTTTAGGACCACACACACCAGAAAGATCACTGTTAACGACCATTAACGACCCATGACAATGGGTGGAGTAGGGCTGCAGAAGTGGGATTATCCCTCATCCCCATTCCTTTGTCCTTCTAACGAGCCTATTCAAACCAGGGGGAAGTGAAACCAATGTGGAGGATAGATCATGGATCTCCTACCAACTCTCCTCAGACTGAAGAAGATACAGTGGTGCCCCGCATAGCGAGGTTAATCCGTTCTGGATTAACCTTCACTATGGGAAAACATCGTAAAACGGATCCAAAAAAACCCATTGGAACGCATTAAACAAAGTTTAATGCGTTCCAAATGGGCCCAAAACTCACCGTTCTCCGATGTTTTCCCTTGTTCCGGCAGCCATCTTGGGTGTACCGGCAGCCATTTTGAGCATCCCGGCAGCCATTTTGGGTGTACCAGCGCCCATTTTTGTGTTCTGGCAGCCATCTTGGGTGTATCGACGGCCATTTTTTTGTGTTTCAGCGGCCATCTTGGTTGTACCGGCGGCCATTTTGAGAGTCCCGGTGGCCATCTTGGGTGTACCGGCACCCATTTTTGTGTTCCGGCGGCCATTTTGGAACCGATGAACAGCTGTTCCCCCATCGTAATGCGAGCATGCCCTCGCATTAGCGATGGGGAAATCCGCATCGCAATGCGGATTCATCATTCAATGGTGCACTCGTTATACGAGGCACCACTGTACTTGGGTGAGTATTGAAACATTTCAACCAGAAGGAAGTCCAGCTGCCATGACTCAACTTCCAGATAACCTTAGCGGAATGAAAGGGTTTGAGTGTGTCAGGGAGTCTGAAAGCTATCCATTAAAAAGCTAGACCCTGTTAGGTAAATGACCATGGCTGATACATGAAAAGCTGCACCTATCTTCTTGAGGATTTAACAGATAGTTCCAAAGATGATGGGGCCAGTGAATTCTATTTGATGACAGCTACTTAGTGGGGAACTACAGTAGTAGAGCGGAATGAAAGGGTTTGAGTGTGTCAGGGAGTCTGAAAGCTATCCATTAAAAAGCTAGACCCTGTTAGGTAAATGACCATGGCTGATACATGAAAAGCTGCACCTATCTTCTTGAGGATTTAACAGATAGTTCCAAAGATGATGGGGCCAGTGAATTCTATTTGATGACAGCTACTTAGTGGGGAACTACAGTAGTAGAAGATGATGCTGGTGGAGGATTTTGCAGAAACAAACCGATGACACACAAGCTAACTGTTTTTAGTACTATTTTACAATAGTAAATCACTTCTGAGAATTATGCATCTCAAAATCTCAGTGAAAGATAATTCAAAATGGTACTGCAAGATTAGACTCCCGTGGCAGAAGGCACTTATTATGCTATTGGGGAAGAACAAAGGATAAGTACAAGTGATGTATATTAATGAGGCAATTGACTCTATGGTTGGATACAGATTGTGGAGAAGCTCTACTGTCTTTACAAAAACAAGAGCAGAAATAGACTGTTGTACGAACCATAAAGTTTTTTTAAAATTAAACTTAAAACATAGTGCCAAAATGTAATAAAATTCCTGAAGAACTCAAATAACATGTAAAGAAGAGATTTGCATTACTAAACTCAACTGACTGCAAACGAGAAAACCTGTGAATTCTGATATTACCAGGGGAAAATGTAGGACTTATCTTGTATTTAAAAGAAAAGCCTCAGCTCAACAGATGACCGATGAAAATTTTAAATTGTTAATAACCAATTAAAAGCAAATGGGGACAGAAAAGGGTTCATAATCCTAAATGGAACTTTTTAGCAACTTCCACAAAGTGATAAAGAGAACTATTATAAGAATCAGGGCAAATAAACAGAAGAGGAAACAATGCGGAAAACAAAGATTTCTTCATAAAATCCAAGAAATCAAGCAGAAATTTAAACCAAGATTAGGGACACTGAAATATCAACAGGGTATTTGTTTCATAAGGATAAAATAAAGTTGGAAAATATATGGAAGAACTATACAGAAGAAGTGCAATGATGACTGATTTCTCTAAAGAAACCTGAGATTAAAAACCAGCAAGTGAAGGGAAAACTGCTCCCAAAGCAATTGGATAAAATGGAATTATCAACAGAGCTATTTTAGTCTACAGAGATTAAACCTATCAAAATCCTAACAAGAAAGTGCCAACAAATACGCACACAAAACATTAATGCACAGACTGAAAATGTTCAATGTACATTCCAATCCCAAAGAAAAGAGTGCAGTGACTATCAGACCATTACACTAATTTCTCATGCAAATGAAATGATATTTAAGATTTTCCAATGGCTTTCATCATATATGGAGCAAGAAATACCAGCTGGATTCAGAAAAGGAAGAGGCACTAGAGTTCATATTGCCAATATACATTGGTTATTGGTGCACGTGAAAGTTTAAGAAGACAGCTGATCTGTGTTTTATAGATTACAGTAAATCCTTTGACTACGTAGATTATGAAAAGCTATTGACAGTTCTAAAAGAAATGAGTGAAGAACAAGATTTGATGGTCTTAATGTGTAATGTATACTTGGGACAAGAGGCTAATATTAAGCCAGAATATGGAGAAACAGAATAATTTCCCAATGGTAAAGATGTCAGTTAAAGGTATGTTTGAAATAGTATTTTCAATACTTCAGTTTAAAACAGAGCATTACATCGGATGACTAACATGTGGAAAGACTTGTTTTTCACTGTAACTTCTCTACCATCAACACAAGTATCTACAAAATGAGCTAAAATATCCATTTACCCTTCTTCTTTAGGTTTCCTAACTTCAGAATAATTCTTCAGAAATTATTTTCTTGTAGGTTTATGTTAAGAAACTAGTATGAAAAGTCCATGGCCAATGTAACGTCATGAAATGTAACATTCACATTGCTTTTACTAAAAAATACGAAGACTGAGTTTTTTTTAAAGGCACAATTTTTGTTATGATAAACATCTATAAAGTAAAACAATAGTAAAGAACAGGACTTTGGGAGCCTTGCTAATACATAAAATCCACAAGATATAATTAGCTCAGCGCTACTGCTATTCCTTCCTCACCACCTTTCCAACTACACTGTTTATACTGCGGTTCATCTCTTATCTTTATAACTACAGTATATCTTATATGATTCCACGGTTTATTTTATTTATTTATTTTATTTCAGAAACAATCCCGATTCCTCCCAACCATCCCAAAAATGTTTACCAGTGCACAGAGGAGGTCAACAGCTTCTAAGATAAGTTCTTGATGACCAATTCGTGTAACCCCTAGATCTTCCAGTTCTTGGTGAGTGATCCGTAGTAACTGGTCTCCACCAATCTTTTCTCTTTCAAAATTCTTGATATACTGCTGCAGGCAATCATCAAGACCTAAAAGAAAAAAGAATAGTGTTGAAGAGGACAGAATATCATTTTGTAACCTAGTTTACTTACTCCTGGGTGAGCACCCAGCAGCTACAAAAAAGAATTAAAAGAGAGAAATTCCTTCTTTCTAAAAAGACTAGAAATCCGTGCTATTTGTGGAAAGTGGTTGGTAATGATTTCAGAAGAAACAAAAGGAAGTAGAGTTTACATCTACAGATTTATATGCATAATTGCACTCATAGAATTTTACCATAAATGGAAAGACAAAAGGTGACATTTACCAATTCCCCTGTTCCCTCCTATAGCCTCTTGACCTTGGGAGACTGCTCCAGAATGTAGCAGAACCCTCCAAAATAGTATGCAAGGTGGCACAGATCAGATGAAGAGAAGCTGATCCCCTCCAGATGTTTTGCATTACAGTTTGCATGGTGACTGGCTATAGCACCTAGGGCTTATAGGAGTTGTATTACAAAACATTTCTAAGGCATCAAGTTGCTTATGTGTTTCTTCAAACTCAAAAGAGTCAGAAGCTCTCCTTGATTTTTAAGAGCTTCTGGGCAGGCCGCGTTCTCTGTCCCATTACCCTTACAAATTCTTTTCATGAAAAGAGAGGGCCTTCTCATTGGCATCTCCCAGTCTTTGGAACGCAGTCTAGCTAATGATCCATTTTACAACTAAATGTGTTAACAATAAATTATAAGCAGAGAAATCCAATACTGTATCAAAAACAAGAGAGCCCCTAACCTTCATGTTTTTGCCCTTTCTAGCATAAAGTAATGAACCACTTTCTAATTTTTTGAATTTAAACATTTTAAAATTTCATTTATATGCCATTCTTCTCTTCAAAGAGATCCAGAACAGTACTAATCACAAAAGCAGTACATACACAGCACACACAACAATAAAATATTTTACATAAATGGTAAAATGCAGTAAAACCCAGCAAAAACCTAGACAATTTTATCTTATATACACTGCTACATAAATATGTTTGACACGTGAATGGTGGAGCCACAGTTCCTAGCATCCAAAAAAACCATCGAAACAACTCTGTCTTACAATCATCCCTCCTAAAACCCTGAAAGGATGTCACACTTCATGGGGACTCAGGAAGACATTTTCAGAGTGTGGGGACAGCGGCACAGAATGTAACCTTTTTGGATATATTGAAGCCTCCAAAAATCATGGCTAGCACAGCTAGTGGTGAAGGCTTCTGGAAGTTTTAGTCCAAAAACATCTGAGGAGAACCAAGTTGGGAACCACTGATTTAGAAGTATGTAACACAGAGAAGCAGAATTACTGGCAAACATGCTGTGTCTTTAGAGCAATCAATATCAGGCCCTCCACTTCTGCACTACTTCTGGACTACTGGAATCAGGATAACAGTACCAGGTTTCAGTGAGCACAAAAGATAGCACAGAGAGTTCCATGGGGAGAAAGATTTCTGCAGTTTCCTGGAGGATAAGAAATGAAGGGTGGTACAGTAGATGGCATTCTACTGAGGCAAATGAAAGTAGCACATAGCAGACCTCACAGGATGTCTCAGAAGCTATCTCCCTGGTGCAAAGACCCAGAACATGGCAGAGAGCATGTTGAGACTGCATGAGAACAAATGGTACTGACAGACATGACCTTCAACATATTACAAATTACTATGACGCCCTGGTATGAAGATGAAGGACTTTGGGGCACATATGTGTTCTTATTACTCCTGCTGGCTGAAGATTACGCCTAAGGAAGAGAGAAACTGGAGGTGAAGAACTGGCTATGTAGATGGTGTTGTTGGGAAAGGTTTGGCTTCTTGGACCACAATCACACAGGGAAGTCGTGGCCTGGAGGCACTCCTCTCAAGGAGGGACATAATATTCCAGAAGGCAGGGGACACCAAATACAGTACTGAGGACAAGAGTGTTGCACCAGAGTACTGTACTAGAAACAAGAATGATGCACCAAAAACTGGGACAATAGAACTGTTGAGGTTTAAAATTTGGCATATACAGAGTGCTAAATAATAAGGGGGGGTTAAAAATATCCACAATGCCAGTGGTTTGCTGAGTTAGCAAAAACAATGTAAATGACTAGAGATATGTTACATAGAGCAGCAGTTTGGTCTACCAGCAAACCTCAACTGTTGACAATTGAAGGGAAATGTAAACTAATGAGAGAAGTATAAATATAGGGAAACAAGGGAGAGCAATACACACACACACACACACACACACACACACACACACGATACCAGAAACACAGATACCAGTCCCCAGAAGAAGCAGGCAGGAGACATAACAATATAATGACAACACAGAGAAATCATGAATTTCCCTCCAAAGATACAACCTGGCACGTGGCTTGCTTAGATGGGTAAAACATTATTAAATAATTTTCTTGTGTGGCTAAACATACTTACAAGCTAAGAAATGCATTTTACCTTCATACATTTTTACTTTTAAAAACTTTGATATTTTAAGAGATGTACTCTCTTTTTTTTTATTGTGCCTTTTGAACCTACTAGCCCCTGCATTTTTAAAATGTAATTAAAACATTCCTTTGGAATTTTTATTGTATGTTTTATGTTCTTGATTTTTTAATGGAAATCTGATTGAAGTACTTGCCTGCAACATCTGTTTTCAGGTATTTTTAAGCATTTGTGACTACATTTTTTTGTTATTTGTTTGTTTGTGACTGTAAGACTTTTGGGATTTTTTTACATTTTAAATCTTTGCACCTACAGCTTTTTTCATTGCTATAAGATTAATTTCTGCATAACTGAAATAATATGCCAGTAAGATAAGTTACATGTTTTCAACAACTGTGAAGTTATTTTTATCCTCATGGAACACAGAAGCAATGTACATGAGTAAAGTTTGTAGAAATAGGCAAGCTGATTCTGCCTGGAATCATTTGAACAATAAAGTAACTTTTGCCTTGATATCAAGATGAACTTTGATATGATTGACACAGTTATCTAAATTTACACTGGAATTAACCCTCTCAGGGATAAATGTCAGCTAAGATGGACCACCACAGACTCTAACTACAGTACCAAGGGGTGTTATAGAGCTTTATAGTGCTTTGAGGTCTATATTTGAGTATCACATTTTTGAGCCTCACAGTACAAGAACCTGCCAATGGATGGAAAGGACAATAAGGAAACAAATGGAGGAAAAGACATGGTTTCAGATCTTGCTGTGTCAATATACAAACCACAGGAAACAAACAAGTATTAACACAGGAAGACGTATGATTTGGAACCTGATGTGATGAATTATGTATATGTAGTAACAGAAGGGTGTAACCTATTCAAAAGAAAACAGCTGAACAGGAATGAAGGAGAAGAGCATTATATGCAGAATATGTGGACAGCTTCCACGAAACATGGAAGACGGAAAAGGATTACTTGAGTAAACATCAAGTACAGTGACACAACAGTGATATCACCTCTGTAGTCTGCAAAAGACCTCAAGGACAATTTGATCACTTGGATGATGCCTTCATGAATCAGATTACCATACATCCCAAGCAGAGAGATGTAGTAATGGCAGATTTCAGTAGCCCTAGGACAGTGCAGCCAGTTGTTACTTCTTTGACCTTCTAGAAGCTGAAATTGTCAGCAAAACAAGTCAGCAAAATTGACAGAGTTGGAGGTACACTTGTTTGAAGTTCAACTCTGCCAAAGTCCACCAAATCCATCACTACTTTTGCTGACAATTTCAACTTCCAGGAGATGGAAGAAGTAACAAGTGGATCTATTATGCTAAACATTTATTAGCCTTTGCGAATACTACTACTACTACTACTACTACTACTACTACTACTACTACTACTACTACTAGTAGTAGTAGTAGTAGTAGTAGTAGTAGTAGTAGTAACAGTAGTAACAGTAGTAACAGTAGTAACAGTAGTAACAGTAGTAACAGTAGTAAATATGCAATCAATATTTTATTTAAAAAGAATACACCATGAATAAATTAATAACATAAATGCAATTAGACAATAAAAGTCAACAAATGTAGTATACAGTAAAACATGCCCAGGACACTATCCTAGACATGATATTCACTAACAGGATTCAGATTAGAAAGATATAGAACTGGTCAACAAGGCCAAAATACTGTCAACTTTGGGTGGAGGTAACCATTACTTCTAGGCATTCATTATATTGAAAAAATGGAAAGCTGATGGTAGTGATGGTAAACACTCTGGAGAAAGCTGATTTCTTTCCCAAGGTCAGAAATTCACCCCACCCGCCCCCAAAACAGGAGTTCACAATGAATGAGAATTTCTTAAATGTGAAATACTAAGAGCACAATCACATACGTACTTCTAAAGGAAAGACAAGTGGAAGTACTTAAGCCAGAATGGCTGCATCTGAAACTTCCATATTCACTGAGATTTAAAACAGGCATATATATGAACTGAAGGAAGGTGGAAATTGGTAACGAAAAGTACAACTAAGTAACCAATACTTGTAAGTCAGCTCCCAATGAGTTCAGACTATCAAGAGAGACTGAAAATAACAACAACAAAGCAGCTTTCAACAATGCTCAGAGCAAGAAGAAGAACAAGGAAGCAGTAGGTCCCTTCTATGGAGAGCTAGTGGGTATCAGGGAAAGTGCTGAACACCTACCATGTAGTATCTGTCTTCTCTCAAAAGGAAAACATAGCTGAGTTTAGCAGGAGTAAAGAAAGCAGTGAAGAGGCTACACACTGTCTAAGATACAGGTACAGCAACAACTAGCTACTGGAAATGTGTTCATTCTCCAGGGCCAGTCAAACTGCACCCAAGGGTACTAAAAGATCTCAGAGCCTCTAGCAATAATTTTTTAGGAGCAATGCCTCCAAATATAGAAGGCAAGCAGATAGTCTCTATCTTCAAAACAAAGGGAATGATCCAGGCAACAACCAGTGAGTTTGACACCAATCCCAAGAGCATTCCTAGAACAGATCAATGAAACAGTCACTCTGTGAGAACTTAAAACGCAATGTCACAATCAGGGGAATGCTAT